ACTTCGATTTGGGTTGGACGAATTTCTATTCTTAGGCTTGGTTTGATTTCAACTTCTTCTAGGCGCAACTGCAAGTAACTTCTTCGTCCGCCCTGCAACTCTTCTCGCCAAGGTCCGAACTCTTCTCTCTGCCGTCCGGAGCTGAACTTTAACTTCTCATCGACTTTCGGGCTGCAGTTCCAACTCTTCTTAGGCTTTCGGGTAATTTTCTTCACTTCGACTTGGGCTGGACGAATTTCTTCACTCCGGATTCTCTTGCCCGCAAAGGGGCGAATGAACCGGGCCCGACGCCCGCGTTCAAGCTCCCTCGTTGTCCGCGGTCCAGCTGCAATTCATTTCTGTCGATTGGAGTCCTGCTTTTATTGACGCCGTAACAAACTGGGGTGGGTCTGTCGGCGCCAGGGTTTTCTTGATAATTCCAAAAGTCGCATTATTTCTGATTTCCCATTATCGCTCTTACTTTCACTCCTACTTCCTTACAGTGCCTCTGGGGGGGAGGCGCATACCCGCTTCCCCTGGTCTCTCGTATGTCAGGTGACCGCTCTCGACCAATGGGGTCCTGGTCGAGTGTCTTTCCTCCTCCCTCGCACATCACGTGACCGCTCTCGGCCAATGAGACTCTGGTCGGGCGTCTCTCCTCCTCCCTCATGTATCATGTGACTGCCCTCGGCTAATGAGACTCTGGTCGGTATCTTCCCTCCTTCCTTCGTGACGTCTCCAATCGGGCGTGGACAATCCGTAGCTTTGTTCTGGGGGGAAGAAATACCTTGTTTAAAAAAAACAAAATCCAAATTGGCCTTTTCGCACGAAAATGACGATTTCGGTTTCCTTCACATTTGGCCTTTGTCAAAACAGCCTGCCGCTAATTAGATGCGACTTAAAGAAAGAATTTTTTCGCCTTGTCGGCGCCTTCTGCGAGCTAAAACAATTGTTTTCACCTCTTTCTTTCGCTCGGGCCTGTTAACAAAATCTTAATTATCTAAATTGAAAATATTCTTCACTCATCATCGTGGGTGGTTCTTATCTTCAACTCTAGAGCTGGTCAGGGTTTGTGTACCAATGTCTTGTTTTCGTATACAATTCCCAGCGGTCACCTCTCATCTCAATGACACCCTTTTCGTTTGTCACTTATTAATATTTTTTCCATTGTTCTTAAAATCTTATTTCTTCAACCAAATTGATAATAAACTCCCATACTCCGCGGACACGAAAGTAGGTCAGGTGCTTGACCGACATCTGTTATGCATCAATCTCCCTCACTACCCCGTCTCGTATCATTATTTCTAAACTCTATTCCTTCAACCAAATATAACAATTTCTATTTTTCCGTGGATTTCGGTCAGGTACTTTGACCTGGATATCTTTTGACACCTGTGTTGTTTTAGTTTTCTTATGACCGGGTTTTGTACTATCTATTTCTCCTTCTCTTTCTTTTTATTATTTCTTTTTTTTTTCTTTCCTTTTTCTTTCTTTCGGATCGCCTAAATACAATTAGAGAATTATTCTCAAAACTCAATTATTCTTCGTCTCTAAATAACTATCAACTGGTTAATAAACCGAATAAAAATTAAATCATATTTTTATGAATATCTCTTTTTAGTTTTCTAATAATGCAGGGTGCCACATATGTAAGTACGCCATTACATATTCGGCTAAATGTCCACACGGTTACATGTCCGTCGTTCAAATGTCTGAGTACCAAGGGGAGATAACAATAAAGCAACAGTAATTAAGAAGAAAGAAAACAGAAGATAACGATTGTCATTGTATTTAAATTTAAGTGGAAAAGAAGAAACTTCTAACATAGAAATTACGGTTACACCTATCCATTTCAACTGTAAAATGATGAGACCTGACCGCCAATCTAGTACTGCGCTTAAATTTATAGATTCTAAATGCTCCGTTCATAATAAACAGTATTAACAACATTTACCGGCCTGAATGTCCGAGAAATTGTCATAGAAAATATGCGTCCTCCGACATGAATCGAACTTGTATCCTATACAGAACCGTCATATAGCCTGACGTGCTTTTACCGATTTAGCCACAGAGGAGCGTTTTGATTAGCAAGGTCGATTTTACTGTTTTAAAACTACAATCTTCCATGATTCTCTCACGTACATTCATATCTGCTCGATGCGTATCCAAATGTAAACAAATGACGTTACATATTATGAAATTGTCCATTGCTAAGCGAAATGCTCCTCTGTGGCGAAATCGGTAAAAGTATTAAAAAATAATTCAACAACAAAATTCAAAAAGTCTTGTGAATATTTATTTCTAAGACCCTTGTTTTGAATCACTGCTGCACATCGCCGTCCATAGGTTTTCAATAAACTTTCGTCAACTGTAATTATAACCCATTCTTCCTGTAATTTTTGTCCATAGATCTTCGACATTTGATAGATCCATAGCCATTTTATCTTAAATTCTTCCATAATTTTTCTATGGGAGTTATGTCAGGAATTTGAGCGGGCCGATCTATAACGTTTATTCCTTGGCCTTTCAGATAAGCAATAACCTGCTTTGCCTCATGACAGAAAGCATTATCCTGCATGAACACAGAATTTTCAAACGCAGAATTTCGTAATACTGTCACAACAAATTCTTGTACCTAGCAGCATTAATTCTATTTTATAAACGTACAAGAGGTGATGACTTGAAGTCATGCCGAAAAAAATCGCTCTGTCTCTGCCAAACTTGGTGCACTTTAAACGGAACCATTTCCATCAAAACCAAATTTACTTTTATCACTGAAAAAATAGACTGGACCACTGTTCTTCTGACGACAACACGTGTTTGTTTTGCGTATTCCAGTATTGCTGCCATGGTTTTTTTTGCTTATAAGCGGCTTCTCCCGTGGACACCTAGCATAAAATCCCTAATTCTTGCAAGCATCTTGTCGCAGTTTGTCCAGACACATTAATGTCATGTGAAAGTTTTCGTGAATTGCCTGCCACAGATCTTAAACGGTCCTTAAGTGCTAGGCGTTAAACGATCCTCTCTTCTCTGGTCGATGTGTTTTCTTTCGTATACCCAGTCAGTCAGTTACGTGCCATGCAAGATACACGCTTAGGTGATCATGTATCTTTCGATACATAACTGACGAGGCTGATTTTTTTCCCCGCAACAGGTTGCCATTTCTTTCTGTGGTTGACCAGTTATCATCCAAGATTCCTCTTATTTACCTATAGCTGGTGGAGGAGAAGGAGAAAATTTATACCTTTCCCAAAGGCATTAGCACGTAAGTGAAATGTAAAGATTCGAGTGGAATTCGAACTCGGCTCTCCGATTACTCAATCAAGAGTTGGCGTACCCAGACTAGAAAACATGCCGAAAACCATGGCGTTGTATCTGCCAAATTTGATTCTCATCTTGGTGCTCTTTGAACTCAACCTTTCGCTAATTGGTTCTCTTACCATTTTCCATCAGAACCAAATACATTAAATTTATTTTTATCACTGAAAAATACACTGGATCAGAGTTCTTCTGACGACAACACGTATTTGTTTTGCATATTCCAGTCTTGCTGCCATGTACTTTTTGCTTATAAGCGGATGTTCTTCGATAAATATCTAGCATAAAAGCCCTAATTCTTGTAAGCATCTTGACGCAGTTTGTCGTGACACATTAACGTCATGTGAAATTTTTCGTAAATTGCCTGCCAAAGTTGTAAAACGGCCCTTAAGTGATAGGCAATGAACGATCCTGTCTTCTCTGGTCGATGATTTCCTTCGTCACACCCACTTTGGTATTCAAAGACTGCGTCTGCGTGAAATCAAAAATGGAGAATACGCGTTGTATATTTATTATCATAATTAAATGAAAATATATTTTCAGAGTTTAAATATTCATTCTGCATAAAATTATATTTGAATAATAATAACAACAAAAAAATGTTGAAATATACCAGATTTTAAATCCCTAGGTGACTTCTGGAACACATATAAATAAGATTGATTCAAAAAATAAAACACATTTCTCTTCGTCTGTGTTCTACAGATGACTAACTCTAGAGTCTCTTGGAAAATTTTTCTTTCGCTTAATTAGAAGTGATATTCGGATGAATTTTGCAACGTGTAACAAAAAAACGGCGTAGAAATTTGAGTGTTTCCCTTTCATTCATTTCTACTTCTAGAATGTTTTATTCCTTGCCAGATCGACCGTAAAAAAATCTGAATGATTTAAGCAAAAGATTAATAATTAGGTCTGACTGCTTTGATAAAAAAATGATTTGTTGACTTTTAACCGGCAGTCGTGAACCCTTACGCGTTCACTGGTGTAATTTTAAGTGTTTCTGGTAAAAGACGACGCCATGTTGAGAAAGAAAATACAAGCATAGCGGGAAAGAAAGTAAAAAGTCAAACATTAAGGAAATGAGAGAGAAGGTGACAGAAGGAACTTCAAAATAAGTCACGAGGAAGAAAAAAATAAGAATTGAACGACTTAAGAATTAGTGTTGTTTTAATTAAAAAATCAATCGGTTGTTAACTGGGGCAAGAAATGTCTTGTAAATTTTACCAAAACAAAATTACTTTCATTTAATCACCACATAGCATATTTTCTGTCTGTCATCAATTATTGCTGATGCTAAATTGAAGGAGAGAAGCACTCTACGTCTTCTTGGCCTCGCCCATTCCACTGACATGAATTAGAGTAAGTACATCTCAACAAAACAGAGTGCTGAGTGAAATTCTTTGGCCAAGCACAATATCAACATTCCCCAGGTCTTACAGCCACCATATTCACCAGATCTTGCTTTTGTGACTTTTTCATCTTTAAAAATCAAATCCAACTTGAAAGGGAAAAGATTTCAAGATGGCGAGGAAATCCAAGAGACTGCAATATGGTAGCGAATTACAATCCGTAAAAAGGAGTTCCTTGAATGCTTCCATAAATGAAAATGACACTGGATAAAATTTGTGGATTCAGAAGGGGACTATTCGCCACGTCTCACAGCCACCATATTTCCCAGGTCTCATAGCCACCATATTCTGCAGATCTCACAGCAACCATATTCCCCAGGTCTCACAACCACCATACTCTCCAGGTCACACAGCCACCATATTCTCCAGGTCTCACAGCCACCATGTTCTTCAGATCTCATAGCCACCATATTCTCCATATCTCACAGTCACCATATTCCCCAGGTCTCACAAGCACAGTATTCCACAGGTCCCACAGCCACCATATTCCCCAGGTCTCACAAGCACCGTATATCACAGATCTCAAAGCCACCATATTCTCCAGGTCTCACAGCCACTATATTCTCCAGGTCTCACAGCCACCATGTTCTACAGGTCTCACAGCCACCATGTTCTCCCGGTCTCACAGCCACCATGTTCTCCAGGTCTCATAGCCACCATATTCCTCAGATCTCACAGCTACCATATTCCCCAGATCTAGCAAGCACCCTATTTCACAGATCTCACAGCCACCATATTTCCCAGGACTCAAAGCCACCATATCTCCAGGTGTCATATCCACCATATTCTCCAGGTCTCACAGCCACCATATTCTGCAGATCTCACAGCCACCATATTCCCCAGGTCTCACAGCCACCATATTCTCCAGGTCACACAGCCACCATATGCTCCAGGTCTCACAGCCACCATATTTGCCAGGTCTCACAAGCACCGTATTCCACAGGTCTCACAGCCATCATATTCTCCAGGTCTCACAAGCAGCGTATTTCACAGATCTCACAGCCACCATATTTCCCAGGACTCAAAGCCACCATATCTCCAGGTGTCACATCCACCATATTCTCCAGGTCTCACAGCCACTATATTCTCCAGGTCTCACAGCCACCATATTCCCCAGGTCACACAGCCACCATGTTCTCCTGGTCTCACAGCCACCATGTTCTCCAGGTCTCATAGCCACCATATTCTCCAGACCACACAGCCACCATATTCCCCAGGTCTACAGCCACCATGTTTTCACAGATCTCACAGCCACCATATTTCCCAGGACTCAAAGCCACCATATTCCCCAGGTGTCATATCCACCATATTCCCCAGGTCTCACAGCCACCATATTTCCCAGGTCTCACAGCCGTCATATTCTCCAGGTCTCACAGCCACCATATTCTCCAGGTCGCACAGCCACCATATTCCCCAGGTCTCACAGCCACTGTATTCCACAGGTCTCACAGCCACCATATTCTCCAGGTCTCACAAGCACCGTATTTCACAGATCTCACAGCCACCATATTTCCCAGGACTCAAAACCACCATATATCCAGGTGTCACATCCACCATATTCTCCAGGTGTCACATCCACCATATTCTCCAGGTCTCACAGCCACCATGTTCCCCAGGTCTCACAGCCACCATGTTCTCCAGGTCTCACAGCCACCATGTTCTCCAGGTCTCACAGCCACCATATTCCCCTCAGATCTCACAGCACTGTATTCCCAGGTCTCACAGCCACCATATTCTCCAGGTCTAGCAAGCACCGTATTTCACAGCTCTCACAACCACCATATTTCCCAGATCTCAAAGCCACAATATCTCCAGGTTTCACATCCACCATATTCACCTGGTTTCACAGCCACCATGTTCTCAAGGGCACACAGCCACAATATTCTACAGGTTTCACAGCCAGCATATTTCCCAGGTCTCACAACCACTATATTCTCCAGGTCTTACAGCCACAATATTTCCCTGGTCTCACAGCCACCTTATTCCTCAGGTCTCACAGCCGTCATATTCTCCAGGTCTCACAGCCACCATATTCCCCAGGTCTCACAGCCACCATATTTTCCAGGTCTCACATCCGTCATATTCCCCAGGTCTCACAACCACCATACTCTCCAGGTCACACAGCCACCATATTCTCCAGGTCTCACAGCCACCATGTTCTTCAGATCTCATAGCTACCATATTCTCCATATCTCAGAGCCACCATATTCCCCAGGTCTCACAAGCACAGTATTCCACAGGTCTCAGAGCCACCATATTCCCCAGGTCTCACAAGCACAGTATTTCACAGATCTCACAGCCACCATATTCTCCAGGTCTCACAGCCACTATATTCTCCAGGTCTCACAGCCACCATGTTCTCCAGGTCTCACAGCCACCATGTTCTCCAAGTCTCATAGCCACCATATTCCTCAGATCTCACAGCTACCATATACCCCAGATCTAGCAATTACCCTATTTCACAGATCTCACAGCCACCATATTTCCCAGGACTCAAAGCCACCATATCTCCAGGTGTCATATCCACCATATTCTCCAGGTCCCACAGCCACCATATTCAGCAGATCTTACAGCCACCATATTCCCCCGGTCTCACAGCCACCATATTCTCCAGGTCACACAGCCACCATATTCTCCAGGTCTCACAGCCACCATATTTCCCCAGGTCTCACATCCACCATATTCTCCAGGTCTCACAGCCACCATATTCTCCAGGTCACACACCACCATATTTCACAGATCTCACAGCCACCATATTTCCCAGATCTCAAAGCCACCATATCCCCAGGTGTCACATCCACCATATTCTCCAGGTCTCACAGCCACTATATTCTCCAGGTCTCACAGCCACCATGTTCTACAGGTCACACAGCCACCATGTTCTCCCGGTCTCACAGCCACCATGTTCTCCAGGTCTCATAGCCACCATATTCCTCAGACCTCACAGCTACCATATTCCCCAGGTCTAGCAAGCACCGTATTTCACAGATCTCACAGCCACCATATTTCCCAGGACTCAAAGCCACCATATCTCCAGGTGTCATATCCACCATATTCTCCAGGTCTCACAGCCACCATATTCCCCAGGTCTCACAGCCACCATATTCTCCAGGTCACACAGCCACCATATTCTCCAGGTCTCACAGCCACCATATTCCCCAGGTCTCACAAGCACCGTATTCCACAGGTCTCACAGCCACCATATTCTCCAGGTCTCACAAGCAGCGTATTTCACAGATCTCACAGCCACCATATTTCCCAGGACTCAAAACCACCATATATCCAGGTGTCACATCCACCATATTCTCCAGGTGTCACATCCACCATATTCTCCAGGTCTCACAGCCACCATGTTCTACAGGTTTCACAGCCACCATGTTCTCCCTGGTCTCACAGCCACCATGTTCTCCAGATCTCATAGCCACCATATTCCACAGATCTCACCAGGCTACCATATTCCCCAGGTCTCACAGCCACCATATTACCCAGGTCTCACATCCACCATATTTTCCCAGATCTCACAGCCACAATATCTCCAGGTTTCACATCCCCCATATTCACCTGGTTTCCCACAGCCAGCCCATGTTCTCCAGGGCACACAGACATATTCTCCCCAGGTTTCAGAGCCACCATATTTCCCAGGTCTCACAACCACTATATTCTCCAGGTCTTACAGCCACAATATTTCCCAGGTCTCACAGCCACCTTATTCACCAGGTCTCACAGCCACCATATTCTCCAGGTCTCACAGCCACCATATTCCCCAGGTCTCACAGCCACCATAATTTTCCAGGTCTCACATCCGTCATATTCCCCAGGTCTCAACCACCATATTTCCCACCATATCTCCAGGTCACACAGACACCATATTCTCCAGGTCTCACAGCCACCATGTTCCCCAGATGTCATAGCCACCATATTCTCCAGTCACACATTCCCAGGTCCATATCTCAGGTCCAGCCACCATATTCCCCAGGTCTCACAAGCACAGTATTCCACAGGTCTCAGAGCCACCATATTCCCCAGGTCTCACAAGCACAGTATTTCATTCCCCAGATCTCTCAGCCACCATATTCTCCAGGTCTCACAGCCACTATATTCTCCAGGTCTCACAGCCACCAGCCACCATGTTCTCCAGGTCTCACAGCCACCATATTCTCCAGATCTCACAGCCACCAGCTACCACAGGTCTACCCCAGATCTCCAGGCAATTACCCGTATTTCACAGATCTCACAGCCACCATATTTCCCAGGACTCAAAGCCACCATATATCCAGGTGTCACATCCACCATATTCTCCAGGTCTCACAGCCACCATATTCAGCAGATCTTACAGCCACCATATTCCCCAGGTCTCACAGCCACCATATTCTCCAGGTCACACAGCCACCATATGCTCCAGGTCTCACAGCCACCATATTCCCCCGGTCTCACAAGCACTGTATTCCACAGGTCTCACAGCCACCATATTTCCCAGGTCTCAGCCAAGCAGCGTTTTCCACAGATCTCACAGCCACCATATTTCCCAGGACACACAGCCACAATATTCTCCAGGTGTCACAGCCACCATATTCTCCAGGTCTCACAGCCACTATATTCTCCAGGTCTCACAGCCACCATGTTCCCCAGGTCTCACAGCCACCATGTTCTCCTGGTCTCACAGCCACCATGTTCTCCAGGTCTCACAGCCACCATATTCCCCAGGACCTCACAGCCACCATATTCCCCAGGTCTCACAAGCGTCATATTCTCCAGGTCTCACAGCCACCATATTTCCCAGGACTCAAAGCCACCATATCCCCAGGTCTCATATCCACCATATTCTCCAGGTCTCACAGCCACCATTTCCCCAGGTCTCACAGCCACCATATTCTCCAGGTCACACAGCCACCATATTCTCCAGGTCTCACAGCCACCATGTTCTTCAGATCTCATATTCCCCAGGTCTCACCAAGGCACACTGTATTCCACAGGTCTCACAGCCACCATATTCTCCAGGTCTCACAAGCAGCGTATTTCACAGATCTCACAGCCACCATATTTCCCAGGACTCAAAACCACCATATATCCTGGTGTCACATCCACCATATTCTCCAGGTGTCACATCCACCATATTCTCCAGGTCTCACAGCCACCATGTTCTACAGGTCTCACAGCCACCATGTTCTCCCGGTCTCACAGCCACCATGTTCTCCAGATCTCATAGCCACCATAATCCTCAGATCTCACAGCTACCATATTCCCCAGGTCTAGCAAGCACCGTATTACACAGCTCTCACAACCACCATATTTCCCAGGTCTCACAGCCACAATATCTCCAGGTTTCACATCCACCATATTCACCTGGTTTCACAGCCACCATGTTCTCAAGGGCACACAGCCACAATATTCTACAGGTTTCACAGCCAGCATATTTCCCAGGTCTCACAACCACTATATTCTCCAGGTCTCACAGCCACAATATTTCCCTGGTCTCACAGCCGTCATATTCTCCAGGTCTCACAGCCACCATATTCCCCAGGTCTCACAGCCACCATATTCCCCAGGTCTCACAGCCACAATATTTCCCAGGTCTAACAGCCACCATATTCTCTAGGTCTCACAGCCACCATATTTTCCAGGTCTCACAGCCACCATATACCCCAGGTCTCACAGCCACCATATTTCTAAACGTACTGTAACGAAGTTGGTTCATTGGGTCCTGTCAGAGTCCATCTTGAACATTTATAAATCTACCATTCGTCCATGCATTGAATACTGTTGCTATATCTGGTCGTGTGTTCCAACTGCTCCAGATCTGATAAAAAAAAGTATCAGGTTTGGCGCCAAAAAATAAAATTACAGCTGATATAAATCTAGCATTCAATCTCCTTCGAAGTAGTCACTTTCTGAAGCCCGACATTTTATCCGGCGTCGTTTACATTAAAAGCATTTCTGGAACTACATTTTGAAGATAAGGAGCAACTGCCTCATCGCATTCATTTGGATTTGCCAAGACGCCTTGAAATTTTGTTCCTTTCAAGTGGGATTCTATTTTTGAAGTCGCCATGGGCGAGATCTGTAAAATATGGTGGTTGTCTGACCTGGGGAATGTTTTGCTACTTGAATACTTGAAACTTCTACACAAAGAATTATCACTGAGAGCCGTATGTGGCGAGACGACCACACTCTATACACGTCCCTTCCAAACACTTCCATAAACAACGGAAGCGAGCGAGAACATTATAAAATGCTTATTTAGGACAGAGTTTAAGATTGATCTGTGCCGAGCGGATTTAATCTGCGTAGCTTAGTCGCCGTTACCAGGGCAATATTCTCAATATGTTGATCAGACGGTATATATATATATATATATATATATATATATATATATATATATATATATATATTTAATTTATGAAAACTTGGTAATCCGCATGGGTAATCCCAAGGAGGATGAAATCCTGAGAGCTCGATGTAAATCCAGAGCTAATATTTTAAAGAAAAACAGACCACTTTAAGGTTCCATTATAATAATTTATTTCCCCAGAGCCCTTTTAAAGGACGCCGGATCATCAGATAGCACTTTCAAAAATGAAATGAAACGAAAAATGAAATGAAAATTGATGGGTAGTGTAAGTTTTTGTAATTTAACAGAGAGTGTAAAAGGAGTAGTTAGAGAGACATGGTAGAGTTTAGGGAGGGTTTAATTTAATATCTCTCTCAAGCATACTTTGTATTGGAGGAGGAGGAGTGACCAGACCTTGACCTATTTAGAGAGTTAACTTAATGGAAGTGATATATTGAAATGGGAGGGGAGAAGAGAGAAAAGGAAAAAGAAAGAAGAGGGAGAGGGAAGTACAGAGAAAGAGGATGTAATTGGGTTTTTAGCAATTTATGTAAAAAATAGATTTTAATGTTTGATAGTAATTTAGATGTCTAAAAAAAACCGAAGAAATTAATTTGATGCTTGCTAGCAATTTAAATATTTAACTTTTTTACAAATAATTTAGGGATTTAATGTAAGTTAAATACTGTATTTATTAACACATTCATAGAGAATATATTTAAAAAATTAAACTATAACAGTTTGTTTACCCGACCAATAGTACTCTTTTAATATTGTAAAAGACAGTCACGGTAACATCTTTATCAGTTTGAATCTCATTTATGAATGTAATTTGTAATTATTTTTAGATGGAGTAATATTTGAAGGTAACAAATCTACCTGTAATTGCAGGGAAGGGTCCGTTTGTCCAGTAGAGGGAATATGCATGACAGAAAACGTAATATACGAAGCTACAATTTTCCCCAAGGAAGATATTAAACAGAAGATATATATAGGAATATCGGAGGTAAATTGGAAGCAACGTTTTTATAACCATCGCCAGTCCTTCACAAATAAATCTAAAAAAACAAAAACACCAAACGGCACTGTCAAAACATTACTGGGATTTGTTGGAGAGCAACTTAACCCCACAAGTAAAATGGAGAATCGTCCCGAGGCCTTCAAGAGTCATCTAAACAGTGAACGAGTTTAGAAAGGAGGGAACAGTAGAATGGAAAACTGGATCAGGAGGTTATAACAGGAAGACGGATCATCATTTCATCTTAGAGCTAAAGAGATCAATTAGAAAAGATCCAACTCAATCCATAAGACGTTTGGCTCGTGAGAGAGGAGAGTTTCATGACAGCCCAAAGAGCAGTGGAAAAAGATTTGAAAATGAAATTGTACGTAAAAACTGTGAGGCACCTTGTCACTCTAGAAAATAAAGTTGAAAAATTAGAGAGGAGGTCGAAGGTCATCTTGAATAAGTTGGAAAATGATACTGGAATAATAATAATAATAATAATATATATATATATATATATATATATATATATATATATATATAAAATTATTTACTCGAAAATTATAACATAAATATGTTATAAAATCACTACAAAAGTAACCATTTTGTTTCAACACCTCTGGAGTCTTATCAAGTGATGATGTTGAATTCTATATTCAATGTTATAATGTTATAATTTTCGAATAAAGAATTACATTCGCTCTACTCTGTATTGAGCACTCTTTTAAGAATAGTAATTGTTGGTTATTGTAATTTATTCTGTATACACTAATCCTATACTTATATATATATATATATATATATATATATATATATATATATATATATATATATATATATATATATATATTATTTCAATACTTCATCAGCTTCCGATCCATAGCTGTGATTAATTAATGATGAAGATGTCATATTCGTTTATGATTGATTTCATTATGATTCTTCTATAATTCTTGGATATACTTTTTGGTAAAAAATAGTGTCCAATAGTGTTATAATAATCTCGGAGAATTCCAGTAAGATATCTTTAATCATTAATAAGATGCAACGTTTCAAATGTTAATCGAACAAAAGGAAAATTTGCTTTTACACGATTTGGACCATTTTGCTGTTACATATATATATATATATATATATATATAAAATTTATTCGAAAATTATAACATAAACGTTATAAAATCACTACAAAAATAGCAATTTTGTTTCAACATTTCTGGTGTCGTATCAAGTATGTTGAATGTAGTGATTTTATAACATGTTTATGCTATAATTTTATAACATGTTTATATAATTTTCGAATAAATTATATTTGCTGTTTTATACTGTTTTATGTATATAGCTTCACAACTATACTTCAACATGAAAACAATAAACAAAAACTAAAAATTCTTGAAGCTATATACATAAAAAAATTGAAACCTAACCTAAACAAAATAAACTATGAAATCTCCACTAATATCCTTAAATGCCTATAATTGATAATAGAAGCCGCTGGCTTATACCAACGGCTTCCCATACTTAATACTTCTCGTTTTCACTCTTGCGTCGTCATGTGTGACGTCATGAGCCTCGATGCGATTTTCGCTTCCAGCGTTTTATATGCACGAGTTTGTCGTTGCTTGGAAATCTTCCATGTAAACAGAAACAGACTATCATCACTTTCTTGTCCGTGTATTGTTTAATATATTGTAATGTAATTGTCATCTTTGATAATGGCTTATGTAAGCCGAAAGCTTAGATTGGATTAAAAAGTATGTATCAATATTGTGATTTTCTTTCTTCGTTTAATGATAATGTTATTAAGCTTATCAGACAATATGAAAAGAATTTACATAAAATAAATAGAAAACACTTGTCTATATTATTTAATGAAACATGCATCAATGAAAAAATACTGCCTAAATATATATATATATATATATATATATATATATATATATATATATATATATATTAAGAAATATACATAACGATATGAAAAGAATTTATATAAAACAAATAGACAAAACTTGTCTATATTATTTAATATATTTTATATATATATATATATATATATAAATGAGCATTGAAGTCAACACTCAGAGGCGATAGGCTGTTTCATGCTAGACGCAATCGTTAGGACGTGACACATATGGGGGTGAAAGGGAGATCACTGCCCCCTGTGGGATGAGGTTGAAATAATAGACAGATAAAATCACTGGAAAATACGAAAACTTAAAGAATCAGCACATATGCTAAGCTAGTACTATAGCCGCTAGGCCAGTGCATAACCGAAAGCGCTCGGATAAAAAGAAGATTCGGGCAATTTTTCTATAATTTATCATCCGAAAAGAAAAAAAAATATTAGATCGCATGAGAAATTGTATAAAAAACTAAATAAAAGCACCTTGTCTGTCGTTTTCAATGAAATGTGCATGAAAGAAGGATTTCTGCCTAAATACAGAAATATATATATATATATATATATATATATATATATATATATATATATATATATATATATATATATAAATATAAATATATGGATATAAATCCGACAGTATGAAGAAAAATATATACGGAAAAAACAAACAAAAATCCTTATATACAATTATGCTGTTTTAATGTTAATATGTTATGACAAAGACGATGTACATAAGAACAAGACTTATCCAAACAGATAACTGAAAGTTTTATAAGATCAGCGCTCCGTTTAAAACATGGTCACGTTGTTTTAAACGGGGCGCTGATCTTACAATGTTGTCATGTTATATTGATAATGTTATAATTTATGAATATGTCCTGAAGATGGTTTATTAGACCGAAACGTCCGACGTTGATATATTAACATTAAAACAGCATAATTGTATATAAGGATTTTTGCTTGTTTTTTTTATATATTTTTATATATATATATATATATATATATATATATATATATATATATATATGTGTGTGTGTGTGTGTGTGTGTGTGTGTGAGAGAGAGAGAGAGAAATAGGATATAAAAAAATAAAATTAGCTAAATTAGATGAATGGTGACACGTTTCATTTCTAGAAGAAACTTCGTCAGACTAATGGTCTTATTGAACAAATCTGGCTGGCATATAAGGAAATACAACAAAGCTTTTACATTGAAACGTTAATGATACAGAGACGCGCAGCTTCAAATTTAGATTTCAATGTCGGTGATCATAGCTCTCCACAACTTCCTATCTTTAATATCTTTTAGTAAGGTTTGTCTTTTCATCATCTCTTTCCCAATCCCTATTTTGTTTACACAGGCCATTTCTTCCCATCGACATGTCAGTGTCAAATTCTCCAAGCACTCTTTTCTCGTTATATGTTCCAAATAATTTAAACTTTCTATCTTTTTTCTTTAAACCATTTTCATTACTCACATTTTCAGTCTATGTTAGAATTTCATTCTTCTTGAACGTGACCTGTCCCTTCAGGACGTTGGCGATCATGGCTCTCCACAACTTCATGTCCTTCGTAGCTCTTAATAAATTTTGTCTTTTTGTTATTTCTCCTATAACCATATTCCGCTATCAATTTACACAACCTCATTCTTCTTCTTCTATGTACCGCGTCCCTTTGGGACGTTGGCGATCATAGATCTCCACAGTTCTCTCTCCTCTGTAGGTTTTAATAAATTTTGTCTTTTTTTTGTCTTTCTAAACTCTGTCCCGTCATCCATGTATAGGTTGGCTTTGAGTGTTTTCCTCTTTCACTTTTGCCTTATTCTGTCCTGTGAGTATCCAATTTTCCCAACCTCATCCTCATTTTATGTATAAAAAATCTTATTTCTTTTCATGGGTATTCTCAGCATCCTACTGTAGAACTACATTTCTGTTGATTCAAGTCTCTTCTTCATTTTTTCTTCTTTCTTAGATATTTTCTGTCACTTTCGTCTCTTTTGCTTTCTCTCTTTGTTTCGTTATTTTTTATTTCTTTTTTTTTCTCGCTTTCTTTATTTTTCGTTCTTTGTTCTACTCTTTCTCTTTTTTCTTTCTTTATCTCATTCTTTCTTTCTTTCTTTTATCATCTCTTTCTTTCCTTCCTTCTTTTCTTTCTTTCTTTCTTTCTTTCTTTCTTTCTTTCGTTCTTTTTTCTTCCTCTCTCTCTCCGTCTTTCTTTCTTTCTTCGTTCGTTCTTTTTTCGTTATTTCTTTCTTTCGTTCTTTCTCTCTTTGTTTCGTTTTTCTTTCTCTCTTTCTTTCGTTTTTTTTTCTTTCTTTCTTTCGTTTTTTTTCTTTCTTTCTTTCTTTCTTTCTTTCTCGCTTTCTTTATTTTGTTCTTTCTTTCTCTCTTTCTCTTTTTTTTTCTTTATCTCATTCTTTCTTTCTTTCTTTTATCATCTCTTTCTTTCCTTCATTCTTTTCTTTCTTTCTTTCTTTCGTTCTTTTTTCTTCCTCTCTCTCCGTCTTTCTTTCTTTATTTCTTTCTTTCTTTCTTTCTTTCTTTCTTTCTTTCTTCGTTCGTTCTTTTTTCGTTATCTCTTTCTTTCGTTCTTTCTCTCTTTCTTTCGTTTTTCTTTCTCTCTTTCTTTCTTTCTTTCTTTATTTTATTCTTTATTTCTCTCTTTCTCTTGTTTTCTTTCTTTATCTCATTTTCCTTTCGTTCTTTTTCTCTTTCTTTCTTTCCTTTTTTTTCCTCCAATCTTCTCATTCTTAGTTTCTTTTCTGTCATTTTCTTTCTTCCCTAGTTTTCCGATTTTCTTCATTTTTTTGTTTTTTCTTTTCTTTCTTTCTTTTTTAAGTCCTTTCTCTCTTTTTCTTCCTTTTCTTTTCTTTCTCTACTTTTTAAGTCTTTCCGTTCTTTTTCTTCCTTTTCTTTCTTTATTTCTTTTTCTTTCTCTACTTTTTATGTCCTTTCTTTCTTTTTCTTTCTTTTTTTTCTTTTCTTTTTCTACTTTTTATGTCCTTTCGTTCTTTTTCTTTATTTTTAAGTCCTTTATTTCATTTCTTTTTTTCTCTACTTTTTAATTACTTTCTTTTTTTCTCTACTTTTTAATTACTTTCTTTCTTTCTTTTTCTTTCTTTTCTTTTCTTTCTCTACTTTTTATGTCTTTTCTTTCTTTCTTTTTTTCTTTTCTTTTCTTACTCTACTTTTTACGTCCGTTCTTTCTTTTTTCCTTATTTTCTCTTCTTTCTCTATTTTTACGTCATTTCTTTCTTTTTTCTTTCTTTTCTTTTCTTTGTCTACTTTTTAAATCCTTTCTTTTTCTTTCTTTTTTATTTCGACCGCCATTTTTCTTTTTTCTTTCATTTTCTTCATTTTCCCTTCATTACTTTTCTAATTCTTTCTTTGTTTTTTTGTTTTGTTTTGTTTCGTTTTTTAACTAATTCTTACTTTGTTCCCAATAAAAGAATTAGTAACATCTTTTACAAGAGGCCGCGCTCGCGCAAAAGGGAGAGAGGGATGGAGAGAAAGCGTAAGCGAAAGAGAGAGAGAGAGAGAATGACTGAAAACAGTCGACGGTTCTGTTTCATTCGGGTGATCGGAAAACGGTTTGTGTGCGGAAAACGGATAATAGCTATAATGATTAAAAGAGAAAAGATACTTTCACGGAAGAAGAGAAAAGGGTGCACAGTTAAATAAAATAAATAAACTATTCAAAAAAAAAATAATAAAAGAAAAGAAGGAAAATCGAAATAAAAATAGAGGGGGGGCGAGGATGATTTTTTTTCGGAAAATCTGGCGACTAAATGATTTCCATTCATGTTCATTGGTCGACAAAATGTCTATTCTATTCTCTCACGCGATGGGAACAAAAGAATTAGCCTCGAGGTATTACCTGACCCCTGGGTTCCTCATTCGTGCTAAACTTGAAAATCAAGAGCGAGGGAAACAGACAAATTCAAGCAGTGGAAGAGAATATATATATATATATATATATATATATATATATATATATATATATAGATAGATAGATAGATAGATAGATAGATAGATAAAAAAGATATATATATATATATATATATATATATATATATATATATATATATATATACTTGCACGCATGTTTTATAGATTCTATTTGTTCGCGTACACATACGTATGTGTATATTCACGAGTGTAACCCTATTTGCACATGAGATAATAAATTATATGCATTAGTGGTTGGGTGGGTGTCTACGAACATTTACTCGCAGGTGCGCTCACACACACACACACACACATATATATATTGTGTAATTTGGCAGCAATCCTTCTTTTATACAAGTTTCATTAAAGACAACTTCCAAAGAATTGTGCTTAAGACAATTTTTTTTCTTAATGTTGTGTTAATTTCCTGGTTGACTGTCAACAGGGAAAGTAACTGTACCACATCCAGAAAAAAAACAAAAAACTTTTCTTATGCCAAATAAAACAAAAAAAAAAGTTGTATTATTTACATTATTCGGACTGTTATCCTCATCATTGCCATATTCACAACGTTTCGGCCGTTGTACGCTCCAGCCTTCTTCAGATGATTAGAATTTCGAACTGAAACCTTTATTTCGTCCACTGGGGTAGATTGTTCTTGTTCCACGTACAATGGCTCTTCCTCAAGGACACATGATCCACTGGATAAAGACGTTTCTTAGATCCACGGACTAAATCCAAAGAATTGTGAGTTCAAAACCAGGTCACAGCAGTGGTGAACTAAAACTTGGAGAGTTAAAGGGAAATACCTGAGAAATCCGCAACCCCCTCTTGCCAGCTGGTCCCAGTATGCCGAAAATACAACAAAGTCGATAGAAAGGACACAAGCATCAACGTCTCAAACAAAGTGTGTCTCCTAGATCGCAGTCACATCTACACCGAAGGGCAAGAGGTCACGAAGCAAATAGTCTGCCTTCCTCCGATCTCTTTCATTGAGGCTGGCTATCTTGATAGATATTTTCTAAGCGCTTTCCCTGAAACGCAGACTGGACGAAAATCTGCAAGACTCAGGACCTCGACCGATTGTCCTAGGCTACCAATGTCCAGGTCGGACGTAATCCGTCCGTCGGTGACAGTACCTCCGACGACCATAGGAAAAATTAATTTCAGGACCCTGCATAACAGAGGGTGAATCGAAACTTGGGCTATCCCTGAACGGGTTTTAGCTGATTTTCGAAGCTCTGGAGGCTCCACCTGGGTCATCCAGAGCTTCGGTAAGGAATCATTGGCTGCCGCGATAAAGCCCCAGATTTTGGGACTGTAATTCTTACTAGAGTTATAATCCCAGGTGCATTATCAAAGTTCCTGGAGTCGCCAGTCGATTTGCCATCGACAGATGTTAACTTAAACAAGGGTCTCCAGAGGTTCTTTCTCTGGGAGGAAAGATCCATCTCACGCACGTGTCTATCCACGAAACCAATGCCTACTCCTTGCGCAAAGGATTCTTTTTCTTTTGGGGATGGGATGGGGAGGTGGGGGCAAGGGAGATACTGGAGCTTTATCTAGAGAAGAAGTGAGGCTACAAGACTTACCTGCGGTTGTATTATTTCTGGCTGGCAAAGTTGGAGCGAATTGTAACTTGGCCTGTCTCATGACTCGTTCCGCCCTGATATGGGTGGTTTTCTTTTCTTTTTCGCTTTTTCTCCTCTTCCTCCTGCTCTTCCTCCCTCCTCCTTTCAAAGAAGAGGCCCGAAATAATGGCATTTTGTCTTCCTCCATGCTATCGTCGGTAGTGGTTGATACTGGTGCTGATCTTGATGTTACGTCTTTTTTGTTGTTGCTGCAGTTGCTTTTGTTGTTTTGCGGCTTTTGTTACTGGTGCTTCTTCTATTGCTGTTTTTGCAACTGTTGTTGTTTCTATTGCTGCTTTTGTTGCTCTTGTTGTTTTTTCTGTTGTTGCTGCTTTTGTTTCTGCTGCTTCTTATATTCTTGTTGTTGCAGCTGTTGTTGTTTATGTTGCTTTTTTTGTTACTGTTCTTGTTTTTGCTGTTGTTGCTGCAGTCGCTGCGGCTCCGACCGCTTCTGGTGCTGCTGTGGGACATCCTGTTGGGGAGGATGAGTTACCACCTTTCGTCTTCTCCTTATGGCCTCCTTCCAGCACTCAGGGGCATTGTCAGACTTTTCCTCTTCCACCGCTTCCATCTGTTGTTGGGCAAGGTGTCTTAGTTAGGAACGCCTTAGACATATGTCAAGTGGCGCGACAAGACATTATCACAACGCAGGATTATATCCTCAGTTGTACCACTAAAAATGCCTGATTTTATCTTTTTAATGCCTGTTTATCTTTTTATTGACGTAACCTTCTCCCTTATTCCGTGAAGAAGGTTCCCCACAAGGTCCTCCTCTACATCTATGAGCACCCCAAGGGATCTTGGTCCTTCGGGTCCCTATATACTCAGTTTTCCGCTCATGCTGTTGTTTATTCTTCTTATGACAATAAGATGTCCCACATTGCTTTTGACTTATTTGACAACACTTTATATAATGTTCAGGCACTTGATTGCTTCATTGTGACAGACCTGATGAGACAGAACCTGGGACGAGCACAACTGGTCGCGACTTGCCTTGTCCCCGCCAAAAAAGAGCCTGTATTTGCTTAGCATGTAAAGCTACTGCAGTTGAAATGAGGGACAAAAAAAGCACTTACCGCTCTGCCGTAATCCGAACTCGGCCAGATAATGTAAAAGAATGAGGGGGGGACTTGCATTGCATTTTTATGCAATAAAGATGCAATGCATTATGGGAGAGGGACACAATGAATTATGGGATTGCATGAAGACGCAAGGGATTATGGGTATATAGACAAATATAAAAGCAACTACTTTTTTCCCAGTGGGGCGGTACTTCGAGTGACGTTCACGGTTGGTGGCTAGAAAAGTCTGTTAGTGTGATTTTGAGACAGAACTCAAGAAGGAACGACTCGAGGTTGCAATACCAGCTGGGAGAGCTTGAATTTACTCGCTGGTTGCTGTTTTCTTTTTATTCGCCATATTCATCTATTCCTTCTCTGCTGACAACCACCCGCTTCCTGGTATTTACATCAGATGTTAGTAGGGAAATTGTCTTTTTCGAAATCGTCTCGCAGGCCGACGGGATTGTCAGGAGTTCATTTCATGAAATGCATTACTGGTTCATACAGTTATGTAATATTCAGAGCCCTTTTTTGGGAGTGGGTGGCTATTTGCTGCCCATGCTGAGGTATGGGGACTTGCTGACGCAGCCACCGAGGCCACGCCCCAAAATAAAGAAAATCACGTGTGCTTAAAAGATCAAATGATGCAAATATAAGGAAAATAAAATAAAATCAAAACGTAAAATTAAAAATTTCAAATAAAGTTTTGCTTAAGGAAGAGGGGCAAAGAAAATGACACAAAAATAAAATAAAATAGAAATTAAAAAAAAAAAACAAATTCAAAAGAAGAATAACAGAAATTGGTTTACAGAAAAGAAAAAAAGAAAAAGAAAATAAAGAAAAAAAAAAAAAAAAAAAGAAAAGAAAGAAAAGTAAGAAAAAAGAAAAGGAACAAAAGAAAACCAAAAACAAAGAGAAAAAAAGAAGAAAAAGAAAAAAGAAAAAGTAAAAAAGAAAAAGAAAAGAAAGAAAAAAGAAAAGGAACAAAATAAAAAAGAAAACGAACAACAAAAAAGAGAAAAAGAAAAAGAAGAAAAAGAAAAGAAAAAAAAAAGGAAAAAAAAGAAAAAAAAGAAAAAGTAAAAAAAGAAAAAAGAAAGAAAGAAAGAAAGAAAGAAAGAACATAAACACTTACTTAAAAAAAAAAAACAAAAAAAAACAAGACAGCAGTTTTTCATTTTTCCCTCCTAAAGGAATCCTTACTCTCAAAGCTAACCGGGTATAAATATGATATCTGATGATATTCGCAAAAATATATTCAAGGAGGAGGGGAAATTTGGAACGCAATTAAAAAAAAATTAACAGTAAATAATTCACGATTAAAAATAAGTAATAAATAGTTCCAAATGAGTGTAAAAGGGAAAAGCAAACATAGAGAGCGAATGAAATATTCTTTCTCCTTGTACAGATCCGGTTGATGTAACGTAAAAAATCCGCTCCAAGAACACGCAAATGGTGAGTAGACCGGACTCTGTGCAAAACAGTGAAAAATCTATCTACATATTTGGTGGCACAGTCGGGATTATCATGTACATGCTGGTCTATTTCGGAATCATGTGCTGACTGAGTCGTCAGAGAAGAAAAACTCAGCTTGCTTGATTTTATATTGACCGGAACATGTTGACACAGTCGGATCTCCAACCTCAGTCTAGTCAATACTACATATTCAGCATCACACTGATATTTATACTTGTACACGACAGAAATACTTTGAAAGTTCGACAGACGATCTTTAACAAAAGATGGAAGCACAGAATTGTTCTTAAAAACAACCCTTAACTTGACAGTAGAAAAACCTGATGTAATGTAACCTGAAAATGTGTCTGCAAGCATTTGAATCTTCCTATCTAGGCACGGTAATTTCAAATAAATCGGACAAAGAATGGGACCAAAAACTCCCGCTTCTTTGACGCGTCTGATTTTACGCTCAAAGTTGCGCTTAATAATATTGGCAGGAAAACCTTTGTCAATGAAAATGTGATAAATTTTCTCTAGTTCCTGGTCAAGAGTACAAGGAGAAAAGATCAGCGCCAAAGGTAGAAATAAGATTAATCTTCCAAGCTTTTAGAACAAACGATTTCCAGTTTGTGTACAGACCTGTGAACGTAGCTTTGCGATAAACGCAGGTAATAAAGAAAAAAAATGTCTACGTTCAACAAGAACATCCAAGAAAAGAAAAGTACAATTATTCTTCACTTCCATGGCAAATTGCAAGGACGAATAAAGGGAATTAAATTCAGTATGAAAAGCCGTATCATCGTTGATGGAATCGAAGATGGAAAAAGTATCATTAACGTAGAATAAATATACATGGGGTTTACGGCATTTCTCAAACAAAAGCTGCTCGTAGAAACCAACAAAAATGTTGGCTAATACCGAACCGAAAGGACTACCCATGGAAACCCCATCAACCCCAGCATAGTATTGTCAACACTAGACACAAATCCTTCTGTTGCTAAATGCATAAACTCCAAAAAAATAAACTGGTTCAGTTGGAACTTTTTATCACTTATTTTAATCGCTAATCATTCAATATTTGAAATATAAAATCTTTAACATTTAAACTCTTTAAAATTTAAAATCAATATTTTTAAAATTAAATATCTTTAAAATCGTTAAAAAAAATAGAATGTTTAATATTCGGCGTCAAACTCACACCCGGCCTCAAGATGCAGGTAAAATGGTGGGATCCCTGTACCACTTCAGTAAGTACCCGACTCCTCATGCTATCCTCTACCTTTATAAGGACCAGATTAGGTCGAAAATGGAGTAATGTTACCATATGTGGTTGGGAGATGCCCATCCCTCACTTGATAGAGTTCAAAAGCGTCTTCGAGTCCTTGTTGAAGAATTATTTTTCGCACTCCAACCTCTCTCTCACCGGTGGGGTGTGCCAAGCCACTCACTAATCTGTCCTACTTCCATGGAAAAGTGCTCGGGCGATCTACATTCCTTGGTTTTGCCAGGTTTAGCCTTCACGGCTAGGACTCTCCCTCTGTGTTTTGTACAAATATTTTCATATCTGCTCTGACGAGGTTTTTCTCTGGTGTCCCAAATACATGAATTTAAGTATCTAGGTCCCACTCTTTTAGTGTTGAAATAGCTAAATGCAATCTTCATTTTTACACCAACAGTTTCTTTTCTCGCACTTCCCACCTGTGGAATTCCGTTCCGTTCACTTGCTTCTCTGGTCCTCTCAGACAAATAAAACAGGTTTCTTACGCATTGAAGGTGTTAAAATTAACACGACATTTCTTCTCCCGGTTAACTAAAGAAGGTGAGTCATTTCTGAGATCAGCTGTCGAACCGATTAGACTTTCTATTAAGACTGGATTAAACAAGTGTGTCATCGGCATAGCTACCGAGTTGAGAACTGGTGACATCAGGAAAGTCGTTGATGAAAATTAGGGACAACGTATGTATAAAGATAGATTCTTGAGGGAAACCTGTATAAATGTAAAACGATGTAGAGGATTGGCCGTTCAAGACAACCATCAGTTCGCGATTTGATATAAAAGATTGATTCAGATCAAAAATTTGCCTAGAAATACCGTAACCTTTCAACTTTTGAAGGTGACTAGCAGGTCCCTCCCCACCATATCCATAGCATTTCGCTATAATAAACAAGATTATAAATTATACAATTTTCGCTTGCGGAACTCTCTTCCGGTTCCATTATTTCCTGCCAACATTGCTTCAAAATTTAAATACAATGTCAAAACTGTCTTCAAATACTCTTATTCTATTGTTTCGATCTTAATAATGTTTCTCTTTTTTCTTATTCTTTCACACTCAGTAACCCCTTGTATCTTAGTGGCTTTATTCATGGGGTGAAATGATTGGAAAACAAATTTAAATCAATGTCAATCGTTATCTACTGTCTCTTGATTACTCTTCTATTGTTCTTCTTAATAATGTTTCTCTTTTTTTCTTATTCTTTCACACTCAGTAACCCCTTGTGTCTTAGTGGCTTTACTGCCTTGCATGGGGTGAAATGATTAGAAAACAAATTTAAATGCAATGTCAATCGTTATCTACTGTCTCCTTGATTACTCTTCTATTGTTCTCGATTCTTAATAATGTTTCTCTTTTTTTCTTATTCTTTCACACTTAGTAACCCCTTGTGTCTTAGTGGCTTTACTGCCTTGCATGGGGTGAACTCGATTTTTAAAAACAAAACAAAAAAGAAAATGTTGTTCAAATGTATAAATTCCAGATTCAACGAGAAGGCGGACACAAATACCAAACCGCTCATCTGATGTGTAAACACAATTCACTTGTCTTTCTTATTTTAACAGCGCCATCTTTAGCACTTTCTATTCCCGAACTGTTGTCTTTACAGGACGCTGGCGAAATCTATCATTGTAGCCAAACGTTTTCAAGTCAACTTTGATCTTCAAAAATTTAAATGCAATGTCAATCG